ATTGCTTTTTGTAGTAATATGCTTTTTAAATTAAATTTAAATTTTAATATTAATAGATACTAAACGTAAAAGCAAAAGGCATAACTCTACTTACTCTAATATTTCTCAACTAAATCTAACTCATGTTAAGGTTACTTTTTTACCATCTAATACTACAAGTCACCTTCAACCTTTGGATGCAGAGATTATTGCAAGTTTTAAAGCTTATTATAAATAAAATTATTGCCATTTTATTTTAGAGCTTTTTGAAGATAGTATAGATATAAATGAAAACAAGCTAACTATTAAACATGCAATTAACTATGTAGTAGATGTGTAGAGCAATGTATCTAAAGAAACTATAGCTAATTGCTGGAAAAAAACTGGCATATTATCTATAGTTGATGAAGATAATATATCTACAGTAATATAATACAAATTGAGCAAGATATTTTAACTTGTGAAGAAGATATAAATCAGTTAATTGAAGATAATTTATATAATAATTCTTATCCTAATTTATTAGTAAATGTATTGAATGACTTTTTTGGTAGTTTGGATAAAAAAATTCTAACTGAAAATATTTTAAACGAAAATAATATTATAGAGTTAATTCAAAATAAAATTTGTAGTAAAGAAGATAGTTTAAATTATTCTGATAATTCTGAAGAGGAACCTGAATTACAGTTTAACCTCTCTATAGTCACGCCCTTAGTTCCAAAAAATTTTATGTTTATAAAAAATTATGCTTATATAGAGGTTAAATTTTTTAAAGTTTATATAAGCTAGTTTTATAAATTAGTGTGATTATAAAAGGTTGTAACTGTATGGAGAGTGACTGTATAGAGTAGTATCATTGAATAATGCAAGTAAATCATTGCAAATGTGGGTAGCTTTTTTTGAGCAACAACAATTCGATGAGTTCAAAAAAGAAGATTTATATATTTTCAAAAAATATCTTAAAATAGTCAAGAAGCTTGAATTCCAAGCCAAAAAGCAGATCACAATAACTGATTTCTTTACTTATAAAGATTAAATATAAGTTAA